GGGGGGGGGGGGGGGGGGGGTAACGAATAAACGTACTTAGGAAATAGGGGAATCATCCACCCAGCTGCATAACTGTTTGTTGATTAGATTGCAGTAGTTTTTCGTTGGCTGGATCTCAACAAACTTTCGGTTAGTGGTCCTCTGATACTTTTTTACATGCTAACGTAGCCACGCGCCTGACTTCGCCTGCGCCCAACTAGGTAGGCTACTAATACGATAACCACGAGGGCTATTAGGGCACAGCCAACTGCTATCGGCACCACATCCTGAGTTTCAAATGTACAATCCTCCGCTGGAAATTAAATTCGGAATAATTTCATCATTTGTATTCATCAAAACGAATTTTCGAAGTTAAAACATTTTAACCATTTACTCCTAATCCATTAAATTACAGTAATTAAATTAGTTAATTCAAATAAAATAGATTTTTTAATTAAACTAATCAATTTAAATTCATTAAATTAAATTAATCATTACGCATTCATTTAATTTAATGAATTTAATTGTTAATTGAGGATATCCCACTGTAGATTTAGCCATTTTCAATCATAAAATTTGTTAATTAAACTGCGTGAGAAAAATTTGAATAAAATCATGAATATTCAGCGTCATTCAAATTACATTTTGCACAAAATTATTAGTTTTTAAACACTCGTTGTTTATAAATGAATAATTAAAATTGTTTAAACTTTACTGCAAAAGTAGGAAAGAATTTTACTGAAGAAAAAATAGCCAAGGCACCAGGATATCCTCAATAAAATTGTGAAGGTGGAAAAAAATGAAGAAAACATTAGATTATAGAAAAAATCTAAAAGTAGAAGAAATATTTCCTTTAAAAAATTCATGTCTTCATTTAAAAAAAAATGAAAAATCAATAAATAGGCAGATGAATAACTAAATAAATAAAGTTATAGTCTCACCATATCCAAACGTCGGTGATTTATCAGCCCTGAACGCCTGGAACTGTAAATCAGAAATCTTGGCAATTGCAGTTGCATTCGTTACATTCGCTGCCATCTTCAGCTCCTGAGCTCTCATACATCTGTAAGAATTGCTCAGCGACGTTTTGTATTCACTGGCATTGTGAATCATCATCACCGTTCCATCTGCAATCGAGAAAAAAATTAATTGTGCCAATTTAACTGCCATTACACCTGACTGAAATTGAAGTGAATTGAAGTTTATCTGATTATCACTCACTCGTTTTGATTCTGGGCAACTGCTTCGGGGTGACGTACGCCTCAATGTGGTGGAGGGAGTAGGACTTGGCGTCATTCTTCACGAAGTGCAGGACCACTGAGTCGTCGGAGTCAGCTCCCGTGGGCCTCCACTTGATGTTAATCACTTGCTCTTTGTCCCCACAAACTCCAGTTGCATTTGTCGTCCGATTGTCACTCGGTACAGTTATCAATTCATGAGCAGTCTTCAACATTAAAATACAAGTTCAACAATTAATTCATTTGTTTAAATAAAACCAACAAATCATGAAAAGTAAAAAAAGACAATTCATTAAAACAATAAAAAATGAAAAAAAAAATGAAAATAAAATACAAATTCGAGAATTAAGTAATTTTTTCAAATAAGAACAATTAATTTGTTCAAATAAAACCAACAAATCGTGAACAACAAAAAATAACAATTCATTAAAAAATAAAAAACGAAAAAAAGTTGAATGAGCGGAGATTATTTTTTTGGCGTTGTCGATAATGAGTTGAATGAACTGCCCTCGAAATTAATTCAAGGTCTACAAGACTATTTTTAGAAGAGACACCACAAGAATGATAAAACCCCAAAATTACAAAAAAAAAATTCTCTCGAATTAAAAATGTTTTTTATTGAAATAAAAGGTTCTTATGACTTTTGAAAAAAAATTGCAATTAAACAGTTAAAAACAAATAAATTTAGGAATTTATGGTTTTGAATACAATCTTCAACAAATCATTAAAAAATGACAATTCCTTAAGAACAAACTTCATTCGAAATTAATTCAAAAGCTATTATTATTATTGTTATTATTATTAAAAAATAAGCATCACGAGACTGATCAAACCCCAAAAATACCAAAAATAAATTTCTCTCGAATCAGAGAGAAAATTATTTCAAACAAAGGATTCTTATCAGTTCTGAATAAATATGCAATTGAAGACGTCGTTTCACATTACTAGAACATGACTCACATGTAACAGTATCCAATTCATAAGCAGTCTTAAAAAATAAAAATAAAATGATGAATTTATGGTGTTGAATAAAACTTTCGACAATCTAAAAAAAAATTATAATTCATAAAAAACAAAAACAAACTCGATTTAAAATTAATTCAACCTCAAAACTATTTTTAAAAAATCACAAACTAACAAACCCCCAAAATTATATAAAAAATTCATCAAAAACAAAAACAAACTCGATTAAAAATTAATTAAAACTCCCCAAAAC